TAACTATCAAGGGCCCTGCCATCCTCCCAGTCACCCAGGCCTGCAGCTTAGGTATCATCCTTGGCTCCTCACCTCTTACCCCCACATCCAATGTTGCCAAGGCCTGTCATTTTTGACATTATAACATTTTTCTCCTGACACTGCCATCCCGCTGGCGCAGGGCCTCATCACCTCCATGCCTGGCCTTCTGCAATAGCTACTGGGGTTCATCATGCCCGCCCCCCCAATAAGTCCAGTGGCTCCCTATCCCCTCCTTGATCAAATATTAAAGCCAGTGTTTGGTGTTCAATGCCCTTCCTTAAGTGGCCCTCCCACTTTTCCAGTCTTCTTACACTTTACACCCCGACATGTCCTCTTTGGTCCAGTGACACTGGCCTCCTGGCTGTTCTACCTCCTGACTCCTGGACCTTTCCCGGGCTGTCCCCTATGTCCAGAATGTGCTCCTTCCTCACCTCCACCTCCTGGCTTTCTACGAGTCCAGGCTAAAATCCTACCTTCTACAGGAATCCTTTCCCAATCTCTCTTACTTCTAGTGATTATTGTCATTTTATACTGTTTATAGCTTGTTTGAATGTAGTTACTGACGTGTCTCCCCTATTAGGCTGTGAGCCTTGAGAGTAGGGACAATCTTCTTCCTTTCTTTGTATCCCCAGAGTTTAGTGCCTGGCATACAATAGGGGCTTAATAAATGTTTACTGAGGGGGCACAGTGGATAGAGCAATGGTCCTGGAGTCAGGAGTATCTGAGTTCCAATTTGGCCTCAGACACTTACTAGCTAGCTGTGTGACCCTGGACAAGTCACTAAACCCCCACTGCCTCCAAAATAAAAAACAAAACAATAAATGTTTACTGACTTATTGACAAGATGGAATAGTAGATAGTGCTTTCGACATGGAGTCAGAAAGTCCTGAGATTGAATCCAGCCTCAGACACTTAATTGCTGCATGATTCTGAGCAAGTCACAGAACCTCTCAGCCTCAGTTTTCTCATCTGTAAAATGGGAATAATAATTAATACTAGCATTCTCCCCCAGGGCTTTTGTGAGGGCTTTCATTCAATTGACAACAGTGATGCTAAAACTCTCTGTGTCCCAAAAGTCTCCACTATTTTTGTCCAAGGATCTGGAATCTTTAGTATTGAGAGGTTCACTGGCATGTGTTAGATCCACACCCTGGGAAAGCAGTGAATGACCTCTCTTAATTTTATTAGGTTGGCAAAAAGCCGCCTCCGTAACCTCTGAGCAAGGAGCCACCAATGAATTCATATTTGTAAAGCACTCTGTAAACTTTTGTATCATATAAATGCTAGCTGTTATTACTAGCTATTAACTTTTTAAAATTAAAATGATTTATTTATAATGTTAATTGCTGCATAAGTGTTGAGATGTATACTAAAAGGCTTCCAAATCACACTTTAAACTCATATAAAGAAAAAAAATCTAAAAGGCATTTAATTAGCAAGGCAACCAAAATAACATAATCTAAAGAAAAACTCCATGTAATCCTGCCAAATGCCCGATGTCCTAACAATGCCACTTAAGTTAAGTGCTCACGCTTCATAGGCCTGAGGTCCCTTATATCACCAAAGTATTCTAGGAACAAAATCAGTAGAAAAGACTCTTCCGTGCTGAGAGTAAGAAGTACGCAGATGAGTAAAAGAATTTGGAGGGGACAGACTCTAGCGTGGGGGTGGGGAACCTGTGGCCTCGCCACAGACCCTCTAGGTCCTCAAGTGAGGCCACAGGGTCCCCACCCCTGCTGTAGATACTCTCTGCTCCTGCGCCAGCTGTCTCTAGAGAATATTATTAGATTGGTAAATTAAGAGTCTGATGATCCTTTCTCCTCTTCTCATATTTATGCTAAAGGAGAGCTAAATAGTAGAACTGACTTCTGGATGCACATTATTTAACCAGTGCTAACCGCTGAAACGCTTTCCCTTCATTCCCATAGAATTACAAAACTCTGACACGGAAGGGATGTCAGACATGGAATCATAGGACTTGACAAGTGGGCTAGAACAGGACTCCCACCCATAACTCACCTGACCAGTGGGTGAAAGCCCTCCATGGAGTGGGGAGCCCACTTCCTCTTGGGGGCAGCCCCTCCCCCACTTCTGAACAGCTCTACTGGTTGAGAAAGTTTTCCTTAAATTTTCCTCTCTGCAACTTCTACTCATTGTTTCTGCTTCTGCCTTCTGGGACCAAGCAGAAAAAAAAAAGACTAATCCCTCTTGACACAATAGCCTTTTAAACACCTGAAGTTGGTTCTCATGCCCCTTCTAAGTCTCTCTTCTCCAGGTTAAATTTCCCCAGCTTCTTTAGTTATCTCACGTGTCTTTCACTATCATGGTTTTCCCCTACAGATTCTCCCATTGCTAATGTCCTTCCTAAAACGAGCTCAGAACTCTACATGCTGCTCTAAATGTGATCTGACCAGGGCTGACAACAACAACGGCAGGGCAGTGACCTCCGTATTCTAGGACCCTCTGCGTCTCCTAAGGCAGGCCGGAACTGCATTCATTTCCTTGGCTGTCATTTTTTGCCACTGACTCTTTCCACCGATGTCCTTGGCTGTAAAGCCACACTTCTCCCATTTTGTAGTTGTGAAATTTATACTTTGAACACAAGTGGAGCCCTTTATACTTAGACCTACTAAATTTCATCTTATTACCTATATAAACGAATACATGCCAGACTTGGGATATTTCCCAAACTCCTCATCCATTCCTCCATCTATCTAGGGGGTCTCTGTTAGTCTTCCCTCAAATGGCCACCTCTACACTTTGCCTCTCCGCTTCCTGGGTTTTCTCATATCATCAGGGTCTCTAGTTCACTGGCATATAAATATCTGAGACCAGGGGTTTTTATTATTGATTGATTTTGATTTATATTTATTATTATTGACTTATTATTGGTTATTATTATCTGACTCCAATTTCTGTCTTAGATTTTTCCTCCTATAAACTTCCAAATGTTTCAACTATTCCTCTTCCTATAATGTAGATACTTTCTGTAGGTTTTAACTTGATGGATAAATGTTGGCAATTTTCCCCTTGTGCCTTCTTTTTTTTTATTTAAAGCCCCTTTTTTATTAGATTTGGAAGACTCTAAATGAATATATATTCTTACCAACCCTTATAAGGTGCATTCCATATCTGGCCATAGACTTATCATTCCTAGATTTTAGACCTTGGGGGACATGAACTTCCTTTAAAAAAAAAAAAAAAAAAAATATATATATATATATATATGTGTGTGTGTGTGTGTGTGTATGTGTGTTTGTGTGTGTATACATATATGTAACATATATACATGCATGCATACATATACTTATATATGCACGTGCATATATATTTTTGGTAACTATTTCAATATAATTGGCTGCCTTTGGAATCTTACCTATTTTTTTATACATCTAAAAATGCAATTCTGAGCAGGGCTCCCTGGGCTTCATGGTACTGCCAAGGGATCCATGACACCATGAAGCATAAGAACCTCTATTTTAAACCATGGTCCAGAAACCCAAACCCCATTCTCAGGTGACATCTTTCTTCACCAGCCATCTACTTCCTAAAGTGGCCTTTTTTCTTCTAAACCCTTTTCATTCAATTGACAGTAGTGATGCTAATACCCTACGTGTCCCAAGAGTCTCCAGTATTTTTGTTCAAGGATCTGGACTCTCTAGGGTTGAGAGGTTCACTGGCATGTGTTAGATGCACACCCCGGATAAGCAGTGAGTGACCTCTCTTTATTTTATTGGGTTGGCAAAAAGCTGCCTTCATGTCCTCTGAGCAAGTGCTCCCCGTTTACTTGGCAGCACCTACGGACCCGGCTCATCAGAGCATAAGCAGCAGCTGCTGCTGCTTCAGAGCCCCCGGCTTCCTGGGATGCAGGAACAGCCTCATATTTGCTCATTAGCTCCAAATGCTCAGTGGCCCTCCCCCCCCTTCTATGTGTGACACACCACCCTCCAAGCTCCTAACATAGGTCAGAATTTCCCTTCGCTTATTAACTTTTCCTCTGTTGACACTGAAACCCTTCTTCTATTTCCTCCCCCAAGACATCTAATTCCTGATAACCCTGATAATGTAGAGAATAGAAATGCATTCCTTAAGCCCCTCTTCTTTCCTTCTAAGGGGAAGACCAGCCTGCATCTCCAGCACGCTCGTGTTCCTCTGTTTCTGACTGCGTATCCTAAGTGCCGAGCACACAGCGTAGTATGGTAGGTGCTTACTATCTGCTGGCTGAATTCTTCCTGCTCTCCACACTTACCGTAAGTGAGATACTCAGTCCTTTCTGGTTAATAACTCTCTTGGAGAATTGCTATAGCAAACTGCTTGTAATAACCACTAGGATTTTGTCATGGAACCAGAGGAAGAAAGAGTCATAGAAGAATGCAGTGAATCAATTGTGTCAAATGCAGAGAAGTCAACAAAGATGAATTTTCAGAAAACGCAAATGGATTTGGTAACAAGGAAGTCCAGGCGACCCTTTTTGAGAGTGATCAAGGTGGAAAGCAAATGACATGGAGCAGTAAAAAAGTCTAGATGACTCATCAGATGGGCCTGGCAGTGAAAAGGAGTGATACAGGATGGCAGAAAATGGGGACAGCGAGCATTTCTGTAGCCACTCGAGATCCCACTGCAGCTGGTGCAAGAGCTGCTCTGAGGAAAAATACATGCGTTTAGAGAAGCTTTGGATCTAGAAGCAAAGAAAGGAAAGAAGCTGTGAAAATCCAGAAGGCATCAGCAGAGAGGGAGAAAGGAAATATACAAGAGAGAGGACGGAGACGTGCTAAACCAAGAACTCAGATGAACATGAGAGGGTGGGATTGAGGACTTCAGATGAGAGGCTATCATTAGAACAGAGAAGGGATGCTTCTTCCTCTGAGACAGGAAGGGAGGAGGGGACAGATGAAAACAGGGATAGAGTGGGAGAAGAGGAAAGTTGACAGAGCTCAGTCTGACAGCCTTAATCTTCTCAAGAAACAGCTAATACTAACCTCAATTGATTCAGGTTTTCTACCATGGTGATGAGAGGTTCTTGGGTAGATATCAAGAAGATGAGGTGGGGCATCAAAATGTAACCTTTTGATGTTTTTTTTCAGAAGATCTTTATAATTCATCTCATCGAAATTTGTCTTCCACAATAAAATCTATAGAAAAGTGAATAATAAAGACAGTTAATGTTTTTAGGATAAAAACTAAAAAACGTATCTGATTTTAAAAGGAATCCCAAAGCCTAATCAGTCTGATAAGATTTTGGTGCATTACGGTGACTTCCCAACAGACAACTGGACTCCAATTTGAACACTACGAAATGGGACACAAACGCAAGGCATTTTTTGAGTGAAACTATATCAAGTGCTGATTTCTGGATCAAGCACAGCAGAGCTTATACATCTGAACGCATGGCACTCCTCAGGGCACAGAAGGTGGGAAGCAGTGAACAGATCCTGTCATTGTTGCTGAGGCTCAGAACGCTACAGAACCACAGAAGGGTCCGGGTGGGAAGCACCAATGGGACCATTGGGTCCAACCCCCTCACTATAGAGAGAAGAGAACCAAAGCCTCGGGCAGGGCCCCCAGCCACACAGCGAGGAAGCAGGAGAACCCGGTCTCCAACTCCAGGCCTTCGGACACAGCATCTGGCGCTTTCTCTCTACTTGGAAATGCTATTTCAGGGGAATTGCTACCAAGGCTAGTTTATGATCAACACTAAAAAATAAATAACAGCGAGAGATCCATTATATGTCATGTTTCTGAGTTTGATCACCCATCTCATTCAGCTATGAATAGAATTTTCGCTACTGCCAGCTAGTATTTATTAAACACCTACTGTGTGCCAGGCACTATGCTAAGCTTTATAAATATAAACTCATTTTATCCTGACAGCAACCTTGGGAGGTAGGTGCTATTACAATCCCCATTTCTCAGATGAGGAAACTAAGGCAAAGAGAGGTTAAGTGACTTGCCCAGGGTCACACATCTAGGAAGTGCCTGAGGCCATCTCAGGTCTGACCACCTAGCTGCCTCAAATGGCAAAAATGTGTAGCATGGCAGCAGCTCATGACTCAGCTGAGGTCAATATTTTCTCTAGACAAAGGATCCCAGAGAGTGGAGGGAGCTCACAAACCTGGGCATCAGCACCTCCAGATGTGAACTGCTGGCCATCTTTTGAAAAGGAAACGGCAAAGACGGGTCCCTAGGGAATGAGAGGGTACAGAAAGGAAAAAGGAGAATTGGTCAATGATGCTCTAGGATAAACAAGATTACAGAGAGTACTGACAGTCTATTTTTCATCTCACTTTATAGAAACCAGACTATAAAAGACCCCTGGTTGAACACCAGCTGCTGACAGTTAGCATGCAATCTTAAAATAACCTTGAACCAATTATAAATTATAACAAGAAAATATATCATAATCTCTTTCATCTTTAAGCATTTCTTTTCAGAGCTCCACGCTGGGAAGCATTCATGTCAGCAGCAGACATTTCAAGGAATGGACTGGGATGCCAATATATGAAAACAGGTCATTTCCTACTCCAAAGTCTTCACTTGGGTTTCTCTGTCTGCTTCTCCCACTGATGCAGTGAATAAATTAAAAGTCCTTTAGATTTTTTAATGGTCATCAATCCGACACTCACTTCACACTGAAATACACGTGGCATTTGCCCTTTAAAGGACAGCTTGACATAAAAAAGTATGTTTGCTTTCTGTTTTTCCAATTTCAGTTTGCTTTTCATTTAGCTTCCAAGTTAAACATGGACAATTTCCCACTTACAAAACAATCTATATGTAGGAACCACCACCTTTATAAAACCTACAGCAGCAGCTGCATTCAGAGAAGCTGCAGATTCAGATGCAGAAGGAAAGGGGCTCAAGGCTTAAGGAACTAAACCCTGGGAACAGACCTCCAAGTAGGGGGAACCTGCTAACCAGTGGGTCCCATGCCCTCAGTCATTTTACCTTTGATGTCACAGTGTTCTTTACTTTACTCTGAAATGCTTCCATAGTCTCCACAAATAAAAATGTATTTTTGTTAGCAAGCATTCTTTTGGGAAAAAAAAAAAAGAGACAGCCAGGTGTGGTGGTATACACCAATGGTTCACCCCTGTGGCCAGAGAGGCTGAGTCTGGTGGATCGCTTGAGCTCAGGAGTACTGAGCTGCATTAGGGCTAATGCCAATCAACTGGGCACCCACACAAAGGGCAGAACCAACATGGCAAGCCTCTGGGAGTGAAAGGCCACCAGGTTGCCTAAGGAGAGATGGGCCCACTCGGGTCAGAAAACCAGAGCAGATCACACCTTCTGGGATGATCACTATTGGGATTGAGCCTGTGAGTGGCTGCTGCATTTACAGCCTAAGTGGGAAAGAGAGACTCAGTCTCACAGAGAATCAGAGAGGTCAGTGCAAATAACTCTAGAAAGATTAAGAGGCTATAGCCTCACACCATCTGGTCCAACTTAGTGACGGTCTGTACAGATGGACATAGACACATATACTACCCAAGAGTGGACAAAGTTTTCCTGGTAGAAGTGATTACTTCCCTATAGGATCAAGGGATTAACACATTCAATCTAGGCCAACTTCTGAGTCAAAATAAAAAGTAACGATGTCTTACCTCCAAAATAATATCGGTAAATAGAATATGAATAACAGAAACATCTAGCCTTTAGAAGACTTTGGAAGACCCTATATATGTCAAATAAAGCATACCTTAATTCATGACTAAACTATTGAAGCTTTCTGAAAACTCTCACATACTATCTCTTTGCACCTCCAAGCTTCTAAAATTAAATCTAGCAGCCTGTTGCATGAGAAATCAGAAAATTTTTCTTTTATACTAGTCAACAATCTCTTTAATTAAGTGGAATGGTATTGGTAAGTTTTAACAATGACAATAGTTCACATTTATATAACATTTTTAAGGTTTGCATAGCACTTCAAAATAGTTCTGCAAAGTGTGTAGTATAATATTAGATCCATTTTAAAGATGAGGAAACTGAGTCTCTGAGTGCCAAGTGACCTGCCCATGGTCCAACTGCTAGAAAACGTTGAAGCAGGATTCAAAGCCAGGTCTCCTGACTCTAGGTTGAGTGCTCTACCTGACACATTGCCTCTCAGGGTCTATAAGACAGGACCCAACCTATAAATGCAGACAGTTTTCATACCACTTTGAAACTCCTTTATACTCCTAGGTTTAGTGTGGGGTATTTTGAGAAATCAAACATATGCAAAAATAGCTTGACCCCACATCCAACCTTTTCTACCAACACTGACCAAGAACAGTAAACCAAATACCAAAGTTTTTTAATTAGTACAGAACATAAAAGTAAATAACAAGGGAAAACTGTGTAGGAGAATAATTCTCAGGGCAGCTAGGTGGCGCCGTGGATAGAGCACTGGCCCTGAAATCAGGAGGACCTGAGTTTAAATCCGGCCTCAGACAAAACACTTAACACTTACTAGCTGTGTGACCCTGGGCAAGTCACTTAACCCCAATTGCCTAATAAATAAAAAATAAAAATAAAATAAGATGAGAATAACTCTCAGCCCCCAAACAAGGGATACAATCTCCCATAGGCTACCCTGTCGCGGTGGAAGAATGGGTGCTTTCTGGTCAGCTTACACTCCCAGGGCTACATCCTCGCTAGGTCGCCTCTTGTGGCTCTATCTCCTGCCAACCTGCCACAGGCCTCCATGCTTCCCCCTCTGCCTCCAAAGCTATTATCTGTGCCTCCCTGCCCTGCTGCTGTCGCCTGTCAGAGCTGACATCTGCACTGGGTGTCCTCCTCCCCCGCAGCGTGTGTGTGTCTCACTCCTTTGTGACGCTGCCTGGTCAGCGTGTCTGGGGCAGTCACCCCAAAGCACCCTTTGGGCTGTTCTCCCACCTCGACCTCATTCATTCCACCAAAAATGAGACAATTCCCTGACACGTAGGTTGGCGGGAAGGGCTCTCCTTTCACGGCCCATCCTGCCCCTGACAGCCAGCACCAGAGCCATTCAGTAAGCGTCAAGGGGCGCTCAGTGACGTTGGAAGGGCTGGAGCAGAGGAGGAAACCCAAGTTGTGCATTCCTGCTGCCCCTCCCCTGACACGTCCAGCTTCTTGTCCCCTTATTTTTAGGAACACTTCAACCTCTTACTATTAAAGCCAAATATTCAAAGAATTCAACAACCAGAGTTAAGAACAATGATTTGTATAGTTTTTTTTTCTTTTCCCTTTCTACCATCATGTTGAACGTGCCCTCCTATTCTATGTACTCCTTTCACTAACCTATTAAATTTCTTTTGACCTATCTGTGGAAGCAAATGGAGTCTCTCCACTCTAAAGGAAAAGGCCTTGATTCTTGTCCCTTGAGTCCACTTTTGACTGGGCAGAACCAGAATCTTTAGAAGGCCCAAAGTGGTCAAATGGGGAGTGAATGACTACAGTATATGGTTCTCTGAGCCCAATGACATTATTTTAATATATGTAATATTGTAATAACATAAGTTATTCTTGTTTGTCCTTATTTTATTCTGTTTGAGGAGACTCCCTCTAAAATTATTTTGTTACAGAATTTTCAGAGACAGAGGTAAATTTGACTATCTTCAGACCACTCTCTGAGCAGAAATGTTTAGAATTAGGTTAATCTAAGTTCATAACATTGTTTTTGGAACACATAATTTTCTTTCACATGTGTAGCTAGGTCTGTTGGCTACTGATTTTGTTATTATAAAAAAATTTTATAATTTATTTCTGCTTTATCTAATTTAAATATGGTACACCAGAAAGTGTGCTGGGCTCAAAGTTAGGAGATCTGAGTTTGAATCTCGGACGCTGAGTGACCACAAACATGTCATTTAACCTCATGAAGCCTCGGTTCCTTCATCTATGAAATGGGAATGATACCACCTATACCACCTGACTCACCAGCTGCTATGAGCAAAGTAGGAAACAAGTCAGGAAATGGGTAACATACCACGCTAGGGCAGAATGAGCCCTTCTCTTTCAGTACCTTCAACACAATTCTACTTTGAGATCCAACCTTCAAACTCCTCTTTTGAAAAGAGACAATCTCAAGTACACAAAGAAAGCTCCAGAGAAAATCATGAGAAATTATGCACTTAGAAGATTATTCAAGATTCTTCCTCGAAAACAGACCATATCCGCCCTATTTATATAGTCACGAATACAGTGAAGGGTTGAGTGGCGAAGGAATATGACAGAAACACCAAGAATATTCAGCATATTAAGAGTTGTTCAATTGGAAATGACATTATACAATCACATTCAGGCAACTTCTTTGATAACAGCAGCAAAAAAGGCATACTGCAACAAGAGGGATGATAAGACATAAAATCGTCGGGATTTAAAAGAAATGTATCTTTTTAAAAATGTAAAATGTCATTGCCAGTACCGTGTGTCCTTGAAGCGTATAGATGAGTCTTCCTTCTATGAGATCCAAGATTTTAAGTGTGCCATCAGATGAGGCAGTGATGAGATAGTTACCCGAAGGATGGAATGACAAACAGTTGACTCCACTACTGTGAACTGATTTACGTGAGGAGAAAAAGGGACATTCAGACATCAATTACATCTTGAAAAATCTAAATAGGTTCGAGAATTTCAAAGCAGTATCTTTACCCCCATTGCAAGGGAGTAAAAGTTTCATTTTAAAAGAGGTTATTTTGCTGCAGATTATCTCAATAAAATTAAATTTTATTAAAAATTAAAATAAATTGGTTACTTGGCATTATGTCAGCAAAATATCTGAATAACTGGCTTAAGGGGCTGTTTTGACATCAAGGAGATGTGGTTCTGGTCTAGTTTGACAAGAGTCCTTGGAAAATGGGAGCATGTCATGGAAGAGTAATGTATTTCCTTTTGTAATTAGAAAGTTATTGGATACATATCCAACATTCCTATCAAATTCTTGTTACTAACTTGGAAAATATATCCAACTTAGCTCAAAATCTAAAAACTAATTCAATTAGTAAGAGGAGACAAGGAAGACATCAAACACAGTAAGTAGTAGAATTGTCCTTAAGAAACATAAAAATACACTTGATGTAAAATGAAAAAAAACAACAACAACAACAACAATAATGGATTTCTGCCTTAAATTCAGGCTGGAGTCACTGTGGGAAGTTATGCTCTGTAAGGTTCGGTATGCTGTTTAACAAGCAGACCCTGCAGTACTCCTAAAGAATGGGGCTTATTCAGCCAGTCTTACATTTAGTAAGTGCCTACTATGAAGGGGGGGAAAAAACCTCATATTAGACAATAGGGGAGATAGAAAGACAATGTATTTAAATCCCCAGGGCCTAGCACAGTGCTTGGCACAGAATAGTTTTTAATAAATGCCTTTCATTCATTCAGACGTGGACCCTGGCCTTCGGGAGCTCACCTGCAGTAAACTTACAACCTGGGATTTGGTGGCAAGGGATCTGTTTACAGTGGAGGGAATTACCTTTCCTCCATTTCTAGGACTCCTGCATTTCCCACCATTGGCACTTATCTCATCTTATCAGTTAAGGACAGAGCCAGAGCAACAGAATCTGTTCCTAACCCCTTAGAAACTTTTTTTAAAAGTCTATTCATAATAGGAACAAGGATACGTAATCTGTGCTGGCCAGCTAAAAAGTGAAAGAAAACAGTCATTTCGATGGTCACTTAGTTACCTGATCAAGAAAATCAACAGAAATGGCTCTCTGTTTACATCCCTGGGATACTGCAAAGAAAGTACTTGTCTAAAGCCTGTGGACTTTCTCAGAGCAGTACAAAGGCAGGCTGGTACCACTCTGGGGACTCATTAAAAGGACCAGGCTAGGCCACAAAGAGGTTCGGAGGCTTGAGGAGGATTCTAGAAAGACTGGATTTGCTATGCTTTAGAAATTGTCACCTTGGTAATTCTGAAGTAACTTGTTTACTCTTATATCCCAGAGTTTCACTGTATGATCAGAACCTGCTGAAGCTATGCACGTACCACTGGGGTTAAAAGACACAAAGTTCGCAAACCTATCAGGAAAAATGAATCAGATGTCAGGCACTGTCATTGTCATTAAGTAAAAGATTGTAATACTAAAAGAGTAAAGTCTTCTTTAACAAAGCGCAAGCACCTCAATGTGCCAGAATGGCTTGACTTACCCTTCAGAGTCTGTAAAGCTATTAATGCACAGTTTATTTGTTGTATCCCAGATTTTAACGGTCTTATCCTCACTACATGATACTATTAGTCTTCCATCAGCTGAAAATCTGGAAAGCACAAGACAAGTTCTAGTAAGCAGGTGGTACTTATGACAAAATAAATCATGTATTCCTGGGAAAGCACTAAAGAGAATCCTTAGGAGAAAATCCATACGTATAAACACAACACTTTCATCAACAAAAGGGAGAAGGAACAGAGCAATAAACTGGAAATGAAATGAACCAACACACAAAAAAAAAAACCTGAGAAGCAACTAATAAAAAAACATAATTAATCACAAAAATAGAAAATCTAAGAATAAAAGATAAATGAAATTTTAAAAAAAACCTTTGAATTGATCAATAAACTTAGGAGATGGTTTTTTGAACAAGTAAAAGATAAATAAACCTTTAGCTAATCTGATTTTTAAAAAGAGAGGAAAATCAAATTGCCAATATAAAAGATAAAAAAACCTCACAACAAATGAAGAGGAAATAAAGGAAATTAGAAACTATTTTGCTCAATTATGTGCTGACAAAAGCTAAAGAGAGTTTGAAAGGAAAATAAAGCACTAGATGAATTTATGAGTGAAATCTATTAAACAAATAAAATTAATTCTAATATTACATAAATTATTTGCAAAAATAGGAAAAGCAAGAATCCTATCAAACTCCTTTTGTTAGACAAATATGGTCCTGATATCTGGACCAGGGAGAGATAAAGTAGTGGGGAAAACTATAGACCAATATTTCTAATGAATATATATGCAAAAATAATGGAAAAAAGATTTTAGCAAAGAAGCTACAACAGCATAGCCAAAAGGTTATATACCGTAACCAGGTTAGAGTTGTACCAAGAATACAGGGTTGGTTTGATATTAGGAAAACAATAAATATAACTGATGATATTAATAACAAAAACAATAAAAATCATATTGATTTTATCAACAGATGCAGAAAAAGACTTTTGATGAAATACACTACCTGTTTATGTTAAAAATGGTAAGAAGGGTAAGAATCAATCGGACTATTCCTTAATATAAGAAATCATTTCTATCCCAAAAGCTAGTATTATCTGTAATGGAGAAATGCAAAGCCTTTCCCATAAGAACAGGGGTAAAGCAACTATGTCCATTGACACCACTGGTACTTCATATATATGTCAAAATGCTAGCTATAATAAGAAAAATAAATAAATTGAGGGAATAAGCATAGTCCAAGAAGAAATAAAATATTGATTTTTGCAGATGATAGGATAATTTCATAAAAGAATCCTGGAAATTCCACTAAAAATTAATTGAAACAATAAAGTCAACCAAGTGGTAGGATATAAAATAAACCCATATAAATCACCCATATTTTTATATCTTACCAACTAAACCCAACAAGAAAAGCTAAAAAGAGAAATTCCATTCAAAATAACTACAGAACTTATAAAATAGGAGTCCACATACCAAAATATATATTATATGAATATAGCTACATATACAAAATAAGACTTTACAGAAATAAAGACAAACCTAAATGACTGGGGAGATAGTAATTGTTCATGATTGAGCTGCATAAATATACAAAAAAGAGAATACAATGAAATGAATGGATTCCGAGAAGCCTGGGAAGACTTGCATGAACTGATGCAGAGTAAACAAAGCAGAATCGAGAAAACAATTTACATAATCTATGACATTGTAAAGGAAAACAGCCTCGAAAGACTTAAGAGCAATGATTCAAGATACGAACAAAAATAAGTCCAAAAGATCGATGATGAATCATACTTTCTACTTCTTGAAAAAGAGATGGTGGACTAGTGATGCAAATTGTTTGGGTGTAATTATTTAAAACAATACAATATAACAAAGGGCCTTTGGTAGAGGGAGAAAAGGCTCAATGGGGGCCTAGTAAGACCTTTAGAAACTGCTCTGGCTGACAAATTAACTACTAGAATTTTCCTTGGTAGCTCTGTGGTATAATTCAATTCAATAATAAATATTTATTATTATTATTATTATTGTTACCACTATGACTAATAAAAGCTAACATTTTCATAAGACTTACTAAGTGCCAAGCATTGTACTAAGTGCTTCACAATTATCTCATTTGATCCTTACAACAACCCTTAAAGGTATATGTTATTATAACCCCCATTTTATAGATGTGGAAGCTGAGGCAGAGGTTAAGTGACTTGCCCAAGGTCACACAGCCAGTAAGTATCTGAGGTTGGATCTGAACTCAGGTCTTCCTGATTCCTGACCTGGTACTCTATCTACTAGCTGCCTCTGGAGCCAAATAAGATTTTCAGTTTCATGAATGCAATTATCACGATCACACTACTTTTCTTAAGGTAAAATACCCCCACCATTCTTTCAACCAATTCTAAAGAGGTATGGGGCACGGCTTCCAGTCCCTTTATCTTCTTAGTGCAAACGTCATGCCCAGGTCAGAACTCAGATATGGTAGGTCTGGGGTAAGGTATATAGCAACCGACAACTTCCTCTGTCTAGATGCTATCACCTCCCTTCATATAGTCAAAAAAGGGAATTCAGTATTTTGGCTGCCAAGTCACTGCTGGCAGAAATGTGGAGTCTCAGAGGACAACCTAAATCTCAGCAAAAACCCTGCTACAACACATGCCTTTGCTTTCAGACCTTCCTGAAAAAGCACCTGCCTCCTCCCATGGCAGCTGATTCTACTTGGGGGACTTACTATTGTCAGGAAGTGTTACCTTAGACTGAGCAGAAACGTGCCTCTCTCCAACTTTCATCTACCAGGAGTTCTCTCCTCTGGGACCAAGCACAATAACTATAAGCCATTCTCTCCTCTTCTACAGAACAACCCTTCAAATACTGGAAGGAAACTCTCACATTCCCCCTTAAGATGATGATGATTCTTCTTCCTTCTTTACAATTGAGGTTAAGTGACTTGCTCGGGGCCACATAGTTAATAAGTGTCAAGTGTTTGAGGCTGGATTTGAACTCAGGTCCTCCTGACTCCAAGGCTGGAGCTCTATCCACTGCACCACCTAGCTGCCCCAAGATGCTTCTTTTCTAGGCTAACCATCCCAAGTTCCTTTAAATGATTTTTCTATGTAATGGTCTCAAAGAAACATGGAGCAATGGGAAGAGGGCTAGATTTGGAGTCAGGGAACAGGCATTCAGGCCTTGACTCTGCCTCCTGCTACAGTACGGCCTTGGACAAGACACTTACCTCTCTGTCTCTATTTTCTCATTTGTAAAAAGAAGGGTTTGGAGCAGATGGCTTCTAATGTTCATCCCAGCTCTTAATCTATGACAGCAGGATCCTTAAATTCCTTCCCGTTTTAAGTCCATCATTCCACAACCATCCTGGTTGTCCTCCTCAGAATGTTCTCCTGTTTATCAAGGACCTTTCTAAAACTGTTCCACCCAGAGGTGGCTTAAGCAGTGCTGACTAATGTTATTATTGGCTCCGTGGTCCTGGAAACAATGCCTCTCTGAATATTGCACAAGATCACAGTAGGCTGCCATACTACACTGCTGATTTAAATGGTGTTCAAAGTCCCAGACCTTTTTCACACAAATTGTTGTCTAGTCTTGCTTTGTTTTGTATTTGTGAAGTGGATGTTTTTACCTAACTGTTAGAGGCAACATGGTGCAGTGGCTAGAAGTGGGATTTGAAACCAAGTGTCCTCTGAATTTGGAAACAATCCTCTATCGTTTACTCTCCATGTGACCTTAGACAAGTGACTTGATTCTCCATGCCTCAGTTTCCTCAGCTGTAAAATCAAGAATGGATTTGATGACTTCTAGGGTCCCTTCCCACTATAGATCTAGGATCCTATATAGCTTTACACCTATTGTTATTTATTTTAATAGATTAGCCCACAACCCTCACCTAAAAGATTGCTTCTGAATAAGGTACAGGAGATACCTCTAGACACATCCACCAAGTCTCACTGGTGCCAATGATAGCACCAACTTGTCTCTTTGCATTCAAATCTCCAGTGTACCTCCTGGGTTTCCTGTGGCAGACTGGATAGAGTAACAGAGGGCTGGACTTTAGTCAGGAATACTTTAGATACTTGCTAGCCCTGTGACCTTGGGTAAAGATTTTACACCTCTAAACTGCTCAGTTTCCTCATCTGCAAAATAAAAGAATCAGATTTCATGATCTCTGAGGCAGCCAGGTGGCAAGGTTGGAAGACCTCAATTCAAATCTAGCCTCAGATACCTAGTAGCTGTGTGACCCTGGCCAAACCTCTGACTCTCTCTGTTTCCTCATCTGAAAAATGAGGAAAATAATAACACCTCCCTCTGAGGATTATTGTAAGGATCAAATGGGATTTTTGTAAAGTGCTTTGCAGACCTTAAACAGCTATTTAAATGCTGGCTATTATCTGAGGTCCCTTCCAGATCCAAATCTGTGATCCTAGGAGCTACACTTAGTGTACCTGTGTAGACAGCTAAGGCTGTGGTTTGATAACTAGCTCCATTTTTGGACTGTCTCTGGTGAAAGTCTATGCTCCTCTAGAGTTACTCTTTTTTTTTTTTAAACATTTAGTAGTATTTTTTTTCAATTACATGTAAAGATAGTTTTCAACATTCATTTTTATAAGATTTTGAGTTCCAAATTTTTTTCTCTCTCTCCCTCCTCTCCCAAGCAATCTGATATAGGCTATACATGTACAATCATGTTAAACATATTTCCACATTAGTCATCTTGTGAAAGAAGAATCAAAAGGGAAAAAAACAAAGGTGAAAGTAGTATGATTTGATCTGCATTCAGACTCCATAGATCTTCTCTGGATGTGGACAGCATTTCCTATCATGAATCTTTTGGAATTGTCTTAGATCCTTGCATTGCTAAGAAGAGCTAAGTCAATCACAGTTGATCACCGCACAATGTTGCTATTACTGTGCATAATGTTCACCTGGTTCTGCTCACTTCACTCAGCATCAGTTCATGGAAGTCTTTCCAGGTTTTTCTGAAATTCGCTGGTTCATTGTTTCTTATAGCACAATAGTATTCCATTATATTCATATACCACAACTTGTTCAGCTATTCCCCAATTGATGGACACCCCTTCAATTCCCAGTTCTTTGCCACCACATAAAGAGCTACTATAAATATTTTTGTACATGTGGGTCCTTTTCCCTTTTTTATGATCTCTTTGGGATCTCAGTAGTAGTAGTAGACCTGGTAGTGGTATTGCTGGATCAAAGGATATGCACAGTTTTATAGCCCTTTGGATATAGTTCCAAATTGCTCTCAAGAATGGTTGGATCGGGGACAGCTAGGTGGTGCAGTGGATAGAGCACTGGCCCTGGAGTCAGGAGGACCTGAGTTCAAATCCAGTCTCAGACAAGACACTTGACACTTATTAGCTGTGTGACCCCGGGCAAGTCACTTAACACAATTGCCGCCCCCCCTACGTAAATGGTTAGATCAGTTCACAATTCCAACAATGCATTATGATTCCAATTTTCTTACATCTTTTCCAACATTTACCATTTTTGTCTGTCATATTAGCCAATCTGATAGGTGTAAGGTGGTACCTCAGAGTTGTTTTAATATGCATTTCTCTAATCAATAGTGATTTAGAGCATTTTTTCATATGACTATAGATAGCTTTAATTTCTTCATCTGAAAACTGCCTGTTCATATCCTTTGACCATTTATCAATTAGAGAATGCCCTGTATTCTTATAAATTTGCTTCAGTTCTCTGTATATTTGAGAAATGAGACTTTTATCAGAGACACTGGCTGTAACAATTGCTCCCCATCTTTCTGCATTCCTTCTAATTTTGGTTGCACTGGTTTTGTTTGTGTAAAAACTACTTAATTTAATGTAATCAAAATTACCCATCATAATGTTCTCTATTTCTTGTTTGGTCATAAATCCTTCCCCTTCTCCATAGATCTCCATAGTGACAGGTACACTATTCCCTGTAGAGCTACCCTTTCTCCTGCAATCTAGCTATCCTATCCAGCCTGGTCCATCTCTGTAGCTGGTTTTTAAAGCCTCTTTGATTATTTTCAAGACTCTGGGTAAATGTCTTTTTTACCAGACCATGCTCAGTCGGCCCCATCTCTGGCCAGGAGCCTCCTGCCATTCTTGGCTTTTCCTTTGTGGGTCAGAAGTTCACATTCATGGGGCCGCTAGGTGGCGCAGTGGATAGAGCGCCAGCCCTGGAGTCAGGAGGCCTTCATTCAAATCCAGTGTCACACTTACTAGCTATGTGACCCTGGCAAATCGCTTAACCTCGATTGCCTCCAAATTAAAAAAACAAAACAAACCAAAGTGCATCTTTTGTCCTCACACCCCATTTTCATAAAGAGCGGCTCCGTTCCCAAGGGGCCTCTCTTCTGATGCCCACGCCTGCACCAGCCCCACGATGGGGATGGGGATACTTGCACCACATGCCCACCCATGCCCTGAAGCTCTTTACTTTCCTGCCCAGGACTTCATAATCACTAGCAAGACTCCTTTGATCCCTGGGTCGGGCTTGCTTGTGTCCACGAGAATCACCAGAACTGAGGGCAGTCTTCATCCATTAAGTCTTATAAGATTCTCCCTGTCTGGACCTAAGGCTCCAGGCCAGAAAAGCCTCATCAGAGAGTCACCAAACACAGGAACTCCTCTTTTCTCCCTCTGATCTTTTCTGGATTATCTCTCACCTGCTAGGAGCAAGGTGGTACAGGAGCTAGAGCCCTGGACCTGGAGTCACAAAGACCTGAGTTGAAATCCTGCCTCAGACACTTACCAGATGTATGACCCTGGGCAAATCACTTAACTTCTGTCTCAAGTTTCTTCATACATAAAATGAGGATAAGAATAGCACCTACCTCCCAGGGTGGTTGTGAGGATCAAGTGGGATAATATCTGTAAGGTGCTTTGCAAACCTTAAAGGACTATATAAATGCTAGCTATTATTATAATTATTAAGGACAGCTAGGTGGCACAGTAGATAGAGCTCTGGGCCTGGAGTCAGGAAGACTCCACTTCATGAGTTCAAACCTGGCCTCAGACACTTATTAGTTATGTGACTCTGGGCAAGTCACTTCAGGTCATTTCCTGTTTGCCTCAGTTTCTTCATCTGTAAAATGAGCCAGAGAAGGAAATGGCAAACCACTCCAGTATCTTTGCCAAGAAAACCCCAAATGAGGTCACAAAGAATTGGAGGTGACTAAAAAACAAGGAATTGATGGCACCTGTGGACAAACACCATGTTTCTTGGAACACAAGCAGCTGCTTCCTATTCAGGATGCTTCCACTGAACTTCCTGACCCAGGTCAGGATTTCTCTCTCCTTCAGATCTCTTTTCTCCTTTGTTTTCAAAGAAGAATTGATGATAATTAGTTATGGTTAATAATTCTCATGAATAATTCTCATATTAATGGTGCTCATTAATAATAACAAATCAGGTTGATTACAGTGCTTTAAGACTTGCAAAGTGTGCTCCTCCCACCAAGTATTATTAGGAGGCTCTGAGGAGTAGGTGACTTGCCCAAGCAAGTTCATGACAAAAAATGAAAGCAACTATATATCTTAGTAGACAGAAAATGACAGGTCACTAATGTGGGAGTCATTTCAGATTCAGCATTCAGATCTCTGACTCTATGTGAGTGTAAAGTTCAAAGTCAATACTAAATTAGAGGAAGGGGCACTTACGGGCAAGAAACCATCTGTTTAAATATAGCAGCTCCACCCTTGCCTATTTAAGCATTGCAAGCTCTGAAAAACCAGAAGAAAAAAACACCCACAGCCATGGAAATGACCACATCTTAGAAATTTAATCAGCCCCAAACCCTCAGCAGAAGGAGGCCAAGAGGGCCCCTTGGCACCACAATTAGCTAATTCTGCACTTGAGGAAAGAAGAGAAAATGGGGCTGACTACGCTAATGGTGGGCGGTGCATGTCAGGCTTGGGAGAGGAGATGCATATTTTAAGTCTGTCTTGGGCAGCCTCCTGTTTTGCACACCTGAGGCATGGACCTAATCTGCCTTACTCTATGATGGCTCTGGAGCTCAGAAACCACTTCCAGTAGAAAACCCTGGATCTCTCTGCCAAATGATCGGCCACAGCGACAAGAACACCAGTTTAGAGTACAAGTCAGTTTGTGAAACATTATGGAGGGGGAAGAGGATGGGAGGTTATGAGCAGTAATCTCACGAAACAGTGAAAAGCACTGGAAAAAATGAACCTGCATGAGACCGGCTAAGCTAAATCATCCTGTCCTTCTGTAAATGAAATTGGAAGGAATACACCAAATAAACATGAAGTCAAAGAGAATGCTGACATTCCTACGGTGATTTATTTTCAACAACAACTACCTTCACATTTGGACTCTACCATTTCAAGAGCCAATGTACTCTGTGAGAAAGTAGCAATA